TTTCTTATAAACATATGAGTGTCTATGAATTTGTTTCTCTAGTCCACCTGGACTAACACAGCAGCTTTCAATATGGATTGCAACTCAATGTAAAGAAAACCTCACTCTTCACAATTGGATTGATAGGTAGCATCATGAGAAATGAAGAAAAGATTGAGGTTAGAAGCATGATGGCAACCAAGTAGCAAACATAGGAGACTCTGCAGAGACCAGGAAGAGAGGCCACAGAGAAAGATATCCTACACTTCCAGACTGCAAGATTCTCAGCATAAAGATAAGTAGATACAAATGTATTAAAATAAAAGAGAAGCAACATCTGCTAATAGACTCCCCCTTTGTCATCAGCCCCCAGCACTAGCCATCGGAACTCAGATCTCCACCTCTCCTAATCAGTTTTTCCAGGTGCAGGAGCTAGCTAGAGTGGCTGACCAGCAGAGCTACGGGGACATAGCCCTGCATGACCAGCCGGGGACTGATATAAACACAAATAGGCTTGGCTCTTGGCCTAAGCCAAGGAAGCTCCTGTCTGATACCCTCACAGCCCTCCCTCCCCTATAACAAGGTTAGTACAGCCCACTGAGCTGCTTGGCAGTGACTCTACAGAATGACCTGGAGCAGGCATAGTGACTAGACTGACTCTCCCTACAGGCCAGGGGAGCTCCAGGTCCACTCAGCAAAACTAATCCTCCATTCTGGAGTGACAGCACTGCAGGCCCAAACCCCACCCCACCCATCGTAAGGCCTGGCAATTCCCAGGCTTTTAAAATATGTCTTTGGTTAGCAAATAACACACACACACACACACCTGGTCCATGAGCAAAGTCTTAGCATAATAATACAAGCACAAACTGCAATGGTGGGGGGGAGGGATTGTAAATCACAGGCAGGGAGTTGGGAATTGAAACAAAGACTGAAATCCTCCGAGTCCAGAAGCCATTCCAGGCTCACATAACTAGCTGTTCATCAGCTGTTCCAGGACTCTAGGCCTGGTCACCACTCTAAGTGGCTCACATCAGCAACCTGCCCTCTGAGTAGGCAGTTGCTTCATTCCTCATTCCTAGACCACCTAGGCAGGTGGCAGGTATAGACCCCACTACCCTATCCCCACATGATTACTTCCATCATCCCACAAGAGCAAACCCAATTCCAAGCTGCTTCCAAAGATCAACCCTGGTTGTGTAGCCAGCTCCCCCAAGATCTCTTTTGCACAGTCAGTAAAACCCAAGCCCTGACCTCCGGCAGTTCTCTGTCAATGTAATGTTGCAACCATTGTTGGATGATCTTCTGAAAAATTGTACTTGCATGTGATTTCAATGATATTGTTTTATGATTTGAACACTCTATTGGGCCACCTTTCTTTGGACTGGGTACAAAACAGGGATCTCTTCCAGTCAGAAGGCCAACAATTTGGCCTTCCAAATTTCCTGGCATAGACAAGTGAGTGCTTTCAGTCCTTCATTGACTTGTGGAAACGTTTTCATTGGTATTCCATCGATTCCAGGACCCTTGCTTTTGGCTAATGATTTCAATACATCTTGAACTTCTTCCTTAAGTTTCATTGGTTCTAACTCATATGTTCCCTCCTGCAATAGTGGAAAATCAGCGATTTCTTTTTGATATGCTGACTCTGTACAGTCTTTCCATCTTTTTATGAGGTTTACTGCGTCATTAGATATTTTGCCCATAGAATCTTTCAGTATTGCAACTCAAGGCTTAGATATTTTTCTTCAGTTCTTTCATTTTAGGAGATGCTAAGTGTGCTCTTCCCTTTTGGTTTTCCACTTCTAGGTCTTCGAACATGTCACTATAATATTTGGCTTTGGCTTTGCAAGCTGCCCTTTGAAATGTTCTAGTCAGCTCTTTGACTTCATCATTTCTACCATTTGCTTTGGCTACTCTTCAATTAAGAGCAAGTTTCAGAGTCTTTGGACACTCCCTTTGATCACTTAGTCCTTTCATGCTTTCTTCATGAATGATGTTCTTGATATCCTCCCATAGTTCACCAGGTAATTAATGATCAATGCAGCTAATCTGCTCTTGAGATCTCGAAATTCAGGTGCGATATACCCAAGTGTATTATGGTTCTTGGGGACTTGTTTTGATTTTCTTGAGCTTCAACCTGAATTTACATATGAGCAGTTGATGGTTTGCTTTAGTCAGTATTTGGCCTGGTTTTAGCGGCTATTTTGAGATTTTTCCATCACCTAGTCCCAAAGATATAGTCCATTTGATTTCTATGTATTTTATCTGGAGAAGTCCATGTGTATAGTCTCCTTTGTTGGAAAAAGCTATTTGCTATGAACAAGTCATTGGCCTTGCAACATTCTATCACGCGACCTCCCGCTTCCTTTCTGTCTCCAAGACTATATTTTCCAACTGCTGCTCCTTCTGCCTTGTTTCCAACTTTTGAATTCCAATCAACAATAATTATCCATGTATCTTGATTGCACATTTGATCAAATTCAGACTGAATACATTGGTAGAATTCAATTTCTTCATCAATAGCTTTTGTGGTTGGTGCATAAATTTGAAAATTGTTGTATTGACTGGCTTTCCTTGAAAGCGGTTAGAGATAATCCTATCACAGACAGCATTGTACTTCAAGACTGATTTTACAATGTCCTTTTTGACAATGAATGCCGGGCCATTCCTCTTGATAGTGTTATTCCCAGCGCAGTAAGTCACATGGTATTCTGATTCAAAATGGCCAATACCAGTCCATTTCAGCTCACTAATGCTTAGGATATTTATTGTTATGCATTCCATTTTATTTTTGATAACTTCCAATTTTCATAGATTCATATTTTATACATTCCAAGTTCTGATCATTCACAGGTTTTTGCAGTTGTTTCTCCTCACCTTGAGTTGTGCCCATCAGCAAACGAAGATCCCAAAGGCTCCGCTTTCTCAAACTTCACCCCACTCATGGCACCATTGGTCAACCCAGTCTGGGAAAGCAGCTCCCCCTCAATCACATGTTGAGTGCCCTCTGATGGGAGGGATCATTCCTCTGGCACTATCTCCCATAATGCCCTGCTTTCATTTAATGAGGCCTTCAGCATCTGACAATGCTTTGAAGCTATACATAAAGTTATCAGCAACTACTTCCTTCAAAGTGGGCAAGGGAGTCCTTTTCCATTGTCTGTTCTTGGTCTAGAAGCTCTGCTGAAACCTGTTCACTTTGGGGGACCCTACTGGCATTTGAAATACCAGTGACATAGCGTGGTATCAGCTCCTCTTTTTTCCCTTCCTCCCCCTTCCCACCCTCATGACCCCTTGATAAACTATACATCATTATTATTTTCATATCTAATGTAGACATATTTTCAGAGCTTAAAATGATTGTTTAAATTACTCCCTCCTAGTATAAAATGCAGACAGCTGATACCATTGGGTTAGGGCAAGCCCTAGCAATCTGATAGCAGACCAATCAGTCATTCAACATTGATGGAGCTGGCCCATCCTGAGGGCACACTGGGGCAACAGCAAGAATGGAAGAGACAGGCCTGTTTTGAGCATCTTCCATCCAGTTATCAGGAAAGTGAGATGAATGTGCAAGACAAGACAGCCTCCAACCACAGGTATACAAAAGCTAGGAAATGAGGCTGGGAATAGCTGGATGAATTAAGGGTCATGTCCCTCAAGTGACCTAGCACACAAAAGCAGTGTCCATGAGCCTCTCTTTGTAAAGCATTACTGGAATGCTCAAACAACAATGAGATGTGCAAAAGCACTATGATAATTATACAGGACAACAACAACAACAAACACATTCTTTCATTCACTAATCTCATTCTTGTGTCTCTCCAGATTCAGACTTCCAGTCTTCAGCAAAGCTCTGGGACTAACCCACCAAATGCCTAGGCCCAAGGTACAGATTGACTAACTCCTTCCCTTAGTTGGCTTGCCTGGGAATGACCACATAGATATTTAAAGGAGCTAGTCTCTGGGTGACATAAACAGTTAATACACTTAGCTGTTAACAGAAAAATTGGAAGTTCAAGTTCAAATCCACCTGGAGATTCCTCAGAAGAAAGGTCTGGTGATCTTTCTTACAGTGAAAACCTTACAGAGCACATTCCACTCTGCAGCACCTGGTGTCACTTCTGATACCTGGGCGTCATCATAAGTTGGAATTGATGGCAACCAGTATGGTAACTCATAACAATATTTCACTTGGATTTTTAGATATGCTAATAATTGTTATTAATAATTATAAATAAATAATAAGGAGAATTTGTTGATAATTCTGTGCTAGACTCTGTCATCCATATGCCATACAAATGCCATCTAGTTTAGGTAGTCGAGTGGTGAGTGAGAGATTTGGCCAGGCCTCCCCACTGGCCTACTCTGTAAACCAAACCTCTACTACTATGGAGCCCATTCTGACTCATAACGACCTATGAAGGGTTTCTCTGATTACAAATCTTCATGGGAGCAAATTGCCTCATCTTTCTCACACAAACTGCCTCGTGCGTTTGAATCTTGCGGCCAGCAGTGCAGTATCTTACCCAGAATGCCACTAGGGCTCAGTAGCTATCATTCACTACTACTTCCTTTTTCTTCGGCATGAAAAATCAACACAGGATTAGTTCATTTCCCCAAGGCTGGGGAGAGGACAACCTAGCGTCCCTGAGGACTACTAAATAAGAAAGCAATTTCTCTGGAGTTGATTCTCACCTAAGGTGACCCCCTATTATATCAGAGCCGTACTTTGCTGCATAGGGTTTTAAGTGGTGGATTTTTCTGAAGTGGATCCGCAGGCCTTTCTTCCAAGGCACTGTGGGTGGAGTTGAACATGCAAAATGTTTGACCCTCCAACTTTATGCTCACAGCCCAGCCTGATAGGTTAGCACCTAGGGAGTCCTCAACTACTACTCACCTGTAGCTGTGGAAGGTGAGAAAGGGGCTGAGGTATGTTGCCCAGACTATTGGGAGAATTCCTGTGCACCGTGCACATGTACTGATTGGGCAGATTGGCAGTGCTCAGTGGGGCTTACCTTTACTTCTCGGGGAGTTGTTTGGACAAAGGCCTTTTTCCCTGCCTTGGAAGACTTGGAGGACGTGGAAGATGACCCTTGAGCATGCCTGGGCTTTAGGTCGTGGAGACTGCTGAGGTATTTCTTGCGCAGGGCCAGCAGTTCCTGCAAGTACTGCAAGCAATCCTGGGTGCGAGAGTACATCCATGCCCTGTCCTCCTCGTGCTGCAAGTAGTACAGGCTACTGTCCATACTGCTGGTGCTCTTGTACTTCTTCAGGGACTCGCTGAAGGTCTCCCCATGGTCTCCGACTACATACATGGAACTGCTGCGAAGGAGCCGGACAGCCGAGCCAGCCCCGCCGTAGTACTGGCTCTCTACCTCTGCCTTCCTCTCTGGGCCAGAGCTGAAGATTGAGTGGATCTTCCTGAACATGGTGCTCTGTTTCTCTCGGAGTGCTCCTGCCAGCTGCCACCTGATCTAGTTCCTGGAGAGACAGACAGTAAACAGGCCGGCTGCCATTTACCGCAGGGGTCCCAGCGAGTGCTGGCTGGGTTAAGCCGGAGGCCTGGGCATCTCTCAGGGGGGACAGTGACACAGAATAGCCAAAGTGCCAGAAATAGCCTGCCAGGACAAAGACTGGCTTTGGAGAATCATTTGGTACAAAAACCTTCTGTGCTCTTCCATCCAAGGTCCCCGCTGATTAGCAGAGCGTGGCGATGCACTGCTCCCTTTCTTTATTTTCTCTTCCCAACTCAGTCTGTGACTTGACCTTGATGTCGATTTTTACATATCGGCCTTGGCTAGGCTGGCCCCACTGAACCTGTGAGTTCAAATGAATTCCTTCTTCGGAGGGTCGCCTCTAAATCAAAAGTAGTTTGTTTCAAATCCAGTGATCCAGGTAGGCCAGAGTGGACATGGCCAGGGCTCTTGGCAGGACTGGCAGACGCCGAGAAGCTGGGCTCCCGAGCCCAGCCTGTGCCCGTCACCGGATAGCAGGCCAGTGTGCGGGGCCAGCGGACTCAGGTGTCGGACTCACGACTGCCTGCACAAAAGCAGCGGTGAATGGAGGGCGGCAACTTTTATATGGCAACCGCAGTCTGTAGCTTAAGCAGACTCTCCTATAAATGGACCAGTTCCCATCTGAGATCGACTGTTTTTTTAAGAGCAGTGTACGAATATGTTGAAAGCTCAGGGACATTTCTATTAGGATTTTCCTCAGGCAAATATGAGAAGCATCCTGATTGCATTCATTTGGTAGACATCCTTTACTGTTTCAGACTTCAGAGAACTGGACTTTGGCGTTATCTAGGACAAGCGTTTCCTTAATTTGGGGTGGAGACTATGAATTCTCAGAAACTATATTGAAAATGTGACTGGTTATATGTGTTCAAAGGTTTCTTTTCTTTCTTCTTTTTTTTTGAGAGGGAATTGGAAAGAAAAGAAGAGTTGAGTCCATGGTGTGATCAGATATCCAAAGAGGTCTATGTCTTAGGGGGGAATTTTTAAAAATTGTTATGTCCTTCTCTAGGACAATAATCATACTCTTTTTAAAATTTGTACCTACAAATGGATCAGCAAACTGCTGTGAGCATAAATTAAAGATGAGACATTACTAGACTGTGAGCCTGAGAAGGACAGGTAAGTCACAAGCCAGGTACAACCGATGCCCACTTCACCCCACCCCACCCTCCACCCAAGGTGTCAGGGGAAATGCCCCAAACATATCAGCAAAACCAGGCACGTGTGTTAGAAGAGACATTCTGATAAAAGAGATTTATAAGCAGAAGAACAAGACAATAGAATATCACACTTTCAGCTTGAGGTGATCAATGCTTACACTTAGTGGCCATTCCGTTTTGGGGGCCAAAAGGCACACTAGCAGCATTCCCTTACTGAAGGAAAGGAGCACAGCTCCCGGAATCAGAGGCCTTCTTTGTAAGATACAGGCACAGTATCTATCCTGGACTGCTAAGGTTAACCCTGTTGCTTAATATTTGCTTTATTGCTTCTGAGATGTGAATGTGTGACTCGTTCCTCTGGGAGCTTAGTAGAGCCCCCCTGCATGAAGTATCTCCACTAATAGGCTGTGCAGGGTTGGAGCAAAGGGTTTATAGTTTAACCTTTGTGTTAGACCAGGTTGTGTAAGAATGAGCTTATATCAAGAAGTAATTATATAGGAAGAAGGCATCGCAGCTTAGTCCAATTCAAGCCCATGAGTCCCCTACTAGTCGATATAAATCCTTCTTTAGACTCATGCAGAATGCAGGAAGATCACAAGCTAGGGCCAGGTGCAGAGTCCCATGGATCCAAAGTCAGTGGAAATATGGCAGGACAAGGACAGCTCTCAGGGTTGGCCACAGAGTCCCAGAAAGCAGGAAGGCATGGGGACAGAGACAGAGATCTCTGTTTGCCTTGCTTTTAGACAAAAGGTTTGTGACATCGAGGAAGTGTTACCAGGCTGTTAATTGATTGACAGGTGACACTCAGCCCAGTTGTTGTTGTTGTTAGGGGCCATTGAGCCAGTTCTAACATATATCAACCATATACATAACAGAAAGAAACCCTGCACATCCCTGCACTGTCCTTACAATTGTTTCTCTGCCTGGGCCCATTGATGTAGCCACTGTGGCAATCCATCTCTTTAAGGACCTTCCCCTTTTTCACTGCCCCTCCACTTTACCAAACACTACGTCCTTCTCAGGAACTGGTTGGTCTCTTCTGACAATATGACCAAAGGATGTAAAGCAATATCTTGCCATCCTTACCTCTAGGGAGCACTCTACCCATACATCTTCCAAGACAGATCTGGTTTTCCTTTTTTTTTTTTAAGATCATTTTACTGGGCGCTCTTACAGCTCATATGACAATCCATACTTCAATTGTATCGAGCATATTTGTACATATGTTGCCATCTTTATTTTCTAAACATTTGCATTCTATTTGAGCCCTTGGTATCAGCTCTTTTTTCCCTCCCTCCTACCCTCCCACCCTCATGACCCCTTGATAAATTATTATTACTTTCATATCTTACACCGACTGCTGTCTCTCTTTCCCAGTGGCTTCTTCTCCCTCCTCTCCCCACCTTCCCCCTACCTTCCTGGTATCACTACTCCCATTTCTGTTCCTGAGGGGTTTATCTGACCTGGATTCTGTGTGTCATGAGCTCTTATCTGTACCTGTGTACATGCTCCAACCTAGCCCACAGTTCATGGTGCTTTGAATATTCTTCTCCAGCACCAGAATTCAAATGCATGGATTCTTCTTTGGTCTTCCTTAATCAATGACGAACTTTCACATGCATAGGAGGCCATGGAAAATACCCTGTCTTGAGTAGAGTGCACCTTAGTCCTCAAAGTAACATCCTTTTTCACAATACTCTAAAAAGGTCTTGTGCAGCAGATTTAGCAAATACAATTTGTCTTTTGATCTCTTGACAGCTGTTTCCATGAGCATCAGTTGTGGATCCAAGCAAGACAAAAATCCTTGACAACTTGAATCTTTTCTCGATTTATCGTGATGTTACTTACTGATCCAGTTGTGAGGATTTTGGTCTTCTTTAATTGAGTCATAATACAGACTGGAGGCTGGAATCTTTAATATTTATCAGCAAGTGCTGATAAAAGTCACCTTACTTTCAGGAAGCAAGGTTGCGTTATCTGCATATCACAGGTTAATAAGCCAACCCTGATGTGACATTCTTCTTCACATAATTCAACTTCTCTGATGATTTGCTCAGCATACAAATTGAATAAGTATGGTGAGAGGACACAACCCTGACACACACCTTTCCTGATTTTATCCCATGGAATATTCCCTTGTTCTGTTTGCACAACTGCTTCTTGATCCATGTATAAGTTATGCAGGAGCACAATGAAGTGATCAGGAATTCCCATTGTTTTCCAGGTTATCCATAGTCTATTATGGTCCTCACAGGTGACTGTCCTTGCGTAATCAATAAAACACAACTAAACATATTTCTGGTATTCTCTGATTTCACCAAGATCTATCTGACTTCAGTAATGATCTCTCTTGTTCCACATCCTCTTCTCAAACCAGCCTGAACTTCTGGTAGCTCCCTCACGATGTACTGCTGCGATTGTTGTTAGATGAGCTTCTGCAAAATTTTACTTGCATCTGATGTCCATGATATTGTTATGAAATTTGAGCATTCTGTTGGGTCCCCGTTCTTTAAATGGGCACATATATATGGATCTCTTCCGGTCAGTTGGCCAAATAGCAGTCCAGTGCTTCCTCTGCTTTCAGAAACAGTTTTATTGGTAGTCCATCAATTCCTGGAGCCTTGTTTTAGGCTAATGCCTTCAATGCAGCTCGCACCTCTTTCTTCAGCACCATTGTTTCTTGCTCATATGCTACCTCCTGACACGGTGGTCTGTCAGCTAGCTCTTTTTGGTACAGTGACTGAGTATTCTTTCCATCTTTTCCTGATGCTTCCCATCATTCCATATTTCGCCCGTAGACTCTTTCAAGATTCAACTCCAGGCTTAGTCTTTTTCTTGACTTCTTTCAATTTCAGATATAGGAAACATGTTGGTCCCTTTTGGTTTTCTAATTCTAGGTGTTTGCACAAGTCATTGTAATTTTGGCTTTGGCTTTTTGAACTTTCCATTCAACTCTTCATCCTTTCTGCCATTTGCTTTAGCTTCTCTATGCTGAAGAGCATGTTTTTGAGTCTCCACACCTACATTTTCATAAAAACTCAAGTTGACTCAAAATCATCTAACTACCACAGACTTCCCTATGTACACTTATAATTATTGGTTGCGGTGAATAAAACCTAAGTGTTACAAAGACAATTCAATGTCTTGGAATGTTTTATGAGATTTGCTTAAAACAAAGACTAACATTGTAAAAATGTCGATACTATCCAAAGTGATATATAGATATAATTCAATCCTGTTCAACATCCCTCTTTACTGAAATGGAAAAATAATCACCTTTATGGGAAAGAGAAAGAGGCTCCAAATAACCAAAGTAATGTTGAAGAACAATGTTAGAGGCTTCCTGCTTCACTATTTCAACAAAGTAATGTTGAAGAACAACGTTAGAGGCTTCCTGCTTCACTATAATCAAAACATCTGATACCACTTCAATGACTGTTAGAGATTGAAATGTGCCAACGTGGCTAATACTTCTCAGCATTATATAATTATCCTTAATTTTTAAATCTGATATAATTATCTTTTGTATTGTACACCTGAATGTTGATGATAATAATGATTCAGGACTAGTGAGTTATGCTAGTAACACAGGAACCCTGGTGGTTAAGAGTGGGACTGCTAACCACTAGGTAAGTAGTTTGAAACCACCAGTCCTCCCCTCAGGAGAATGGCAAGGCTTTCTACTCCTTTAAAGGGTTACAGTCTCAGAAACCCACAGAGGCAGTTCTACACTGCTCTATAAAGTCTCCATCA